ATGCACAATACCAAGCTGGACAGGTTTACATACATTACTTCAAGGTGATGGCACTCTGCAAAAGTCAGCACTGTATTATCTTCCAGTCATTGAGGCTTCACCGACAGAGATGTCAACAGTAAACACAATTCTGAAGCGAAGTGTCCAAATTCATAATCAGCTAGAACTGGACCATATAGTGTTCGTTTTTGACAAAGCTATATATGCCAAAGCTCAGAAAATTTGCTGGAAAGATGATGACTTTACTCAGCGTAAAGTGATTAGACTAGGTGAATTTCACACATGCATGTCCTACCTGAGCATTCTAGGAAAAAGGTTTGGAGATGCAGGACTGCAAGACATACTCATTGAGTCCAAAGTTGTTGCCCCAGGATCCATCAATGGAGTGATCAGTGGAGCTATTTTCTTTGATGGCATGGCAGTCATTCAAGCCATTCGGTCAATACCAAGTACCTTTGGAGAGCTTTCAGAGACCATACTGCAGTACATAGTCAAACTTTCTCTGAAACAAACTGTACACGGATAAATTTAAAATGTTTGTTTAATTTTGCTTAGTGCCAATCCGTGAAGTTGAAGCATATTTTCTACAAATTTGCCATATTTCATGGTCTACATTCACACTTGAGTATATAATGCACCAAAACCTGTCTCAAGTGTTTAGGTACATGTATAAGTGTCAGTTTGAGAGATATTTGGTGTTGCTAAAATGTATATAAATAAAGTTACAAACAAAACCAGCAGCATAAGATTTTCGTTTTTTTCCAATTCACAATTATATACATTTATGGATTTTGAAAAAAAACTGCAGGGTATTTTGTGGAGAACTTTTAACATAAAGTCGAAAATGGTTTTGTCTATGAAAAAATTCATTTAAAAAGTAGTTCCCAGGTGTGGGAACGAAAATCATTTTCTAGCCACTTTTTCCTTGTTCACCTTACGGCCTACAAAAGGCTGTACACGATTTCTTTATTTTACTTTTACGTATGATAGCAATATAGTTCAGAAGCTCGATGCCACTGGATGTCCTGCTGCTGCTGGCCACGACGAGAGGGCATTTTCAGAAAAATTACGAAAAATGATTCATTAAAAATTACCTGCCTCGGGCTATCGTCATATCAATAGAGGAGCATATAGTTGTGTGATCCACCCCCTTTGAGTTAATGCTAGACTGGTGGGGCTGCCATGAAAGCAAAACGTATGATACCTTAGTTGTGAGAATAGTACCTTTACATCTTTGTATTAATACTGTCACTGTGAGAACTGTCTTCCTCTAAACGCAATACAAGTATATATGTGTATATTATTGTACACGGGCTAAACACATCCATAGCTATTTCAGTAAAAGTGAGTCGGTAGAAAGGAGGGGGGCAAATTGTTAACTACCTCGCCTGGTATGCAGGAGGTCGTAGGTTTGAGTCCAACCCTGACACCCGCTGTATTTTTGGAGTTTGCGTGTCTCTTTCCCAATGGTCGCGTGAATTTTTCTCCAGGTCCTCCGGTTTCCCCCTCCATATTAGAATCAACTTGCATTTAGAGTATTTTGCTGCTATAAATTTCCACACGTTGATAAGCCACTTCGTTGGGCTATCATTTGTGATAGCCAGGTCGCTTCTGAAAAAGAGATATATAGCTCAGTGGGCCTTAATTGGTAAAATAAAAACAAATGTGATAGTTTAGTTTATCTTGCACACCCCCTGTTGAAATAGGGCATGATGCCCCTGGCTAGTTGACCAGGCGAGAACCTCTGTGGCTGGAGGGACGCTGAGCATTGGGTATCGGGGGCATCGGGGCATGGTGCTGGCCACCCACCACCTGCCTCGTGTGCCGTTATCGGCCTTCATAGGTGCTGCTACTTGCTAACAGCGTTTGCCCCAACAGTCTGTTGAGGCTACACGGGGGGCGGTCTTAGTCTTTGTGGGGTTTTCCCCTTGCTCTACTCGGTGACGCGGCCCAGCGGCGGCGCCTGTTTGCCGCTTGTTGTCGGAGAGGTGCGGTGATTCAAATTCCAGCGGCCAGCCCGGTGACGTCCTAGCCAAAATGAAACATACTATGCACTGGCTGCATCACGGTGAATGTTGCAGATCCCGTGCTGTCATTCGCCAGAGTAGGTCATTCATGTGTTCCAGGGTCGCGGTCTGAATGTGAAAAACTACACTACAAATGACTCAGCTGGACTCGATATATGTCAGAATCAGAATCTGTATGTATTCTGGAGGAATCCGATGAGCTATGAAGGTTTTTTTTTACAGATGTCCAATCATTGTCACCTTCCCTCTGACCCCATTACTGTGAAAATTCGCAGGACCCCCCTAATGAAGATGCATGGGACTGGGTGAGGCTTTCCTGGGTAAAGCAAGTGTATTTCTAGTAAGGTCGAAAAACCCCTTTGGTCAATCGACTCCCATCCTATCGAGCCCTCCTCCGTTTGAAACCCGTGCCTCTGAGAACTTCCATTCGGAGCCGCTCACGTTGGCTAACGGTGACTCACGGTGGTCGTGGCTCTATCGTCTTACCTTTAGGAGAGTGCAGGACCCCACCTCTCCCCACCAACTCTACGTGTCTCTGCCGCAGACATCAGTGGTACTACAGTTCTGGCTGCTTCTGATCTGGCCGATCGGTGATGCCTCTCCGCCCTCATTCGGAGAAACCAACACATGTTGCCCACTGCCGGTGGATGTTTGCATCAAAGAGTGTGGAGAGAGCTGCCAGAGTCTGGTATTACAGAATAATTGCTCAAGGTGGGGGGGTTGGGGGGCAATGACATGATAATGGGGGGTTGCATGTGGTTCTGTGTTTAAACGAGTGCGCTATCGTCCCGGATGACTGGAGGCGCGGTCTTGCAGTGCCTATCTGGAAAGGCAACGGTGACCAGTGGCATTGGAACAGCTACCGTACAGCATCAGTTACTCTGCTCTCGGTAACCTGGCAAGGTCCTGGCAGGGGTGTGCGCCACTGGCAAAGGGTTTGAGACTGTCTGCTGTAAACTCGGCAGCTGAGAAACGTTGGCTTCACACCCAAACGGCCAACCAGTGACCCGATCCTAAGACCTGGACCCTTGGTTGAGTACCATTGTGAGGGTCAGCAGGATCTGCCCGCGGGCCTATACTCCAGCCGACGAAGGCCTTCTCGCTAACCTGGTGCATCAACAATTCTCCAGGGATAGCGCAGAGTCTGGGAGCATTTCCCCCACTCCTCAGTCTGCTTCGGGAGGTTCCTGCGGCTTCGTGGAATTTCCGCAGCGGAGTGTCGATCTGTTTGGGTGGCACATGTTCAAGAGCTGAGAGTGTGGTGGATCGTCGCAAGTATAGTTCCTAGCCCCCCCCCCCCCCCGAGTGAGTGTTGGTGGTGAGTTTGTTTCGCCCCAAAGCCTCTCAGCACTTGCATGGCCTGGACGCGCGGTCAGCTCGTGTTGGTGAAGTGGAGGTCACCAACATTAACTATAAAAAACGAAAAAAAAAATTATTTCACCAGGTAAGGCCCACTGAGCTATATAGCTCTTTTTCACAAGCGACCTGGGCACAAAGGATAGCTCAACGAAGTGACTTATCATGTGGAAATATATAGCAGCCGAATACTATAAACGCATGTTGAATCCATATATAGAGGAAAAAAACAGATAGAGACAGGGAGAGAGACATGCAAACTCCAAATGTACAGCAGGCGTCAGGGTCGGGATCGAGCCTACGACCTCCTGTGTACCAGTCAAGGTAGTTAACATCTCACCACCGCGGCAGGTTGCTGACAAAGCCTGTGATTTTCCACCGGAGCTGCTCTATGTCCTTACATTTTTCTCCTGAGATGAAGGCCCTGGATGTGCTGAAGATGGAGCGATCGTGGGATTGGAGGTCTCCTGGCGGGTAAAAACTAAAACCCAGGCTCTCCTCGACTCTCTGGAGGGTGTTGCGTAGTCCGCCCGATTGTCTGGCGAACACATCGAGGTGGTGGACAGGTTAACTTACCTTTGAAAACACTACCCGGATCAGCGAAGGCTCGGAACCGGTGTCTCAAGGTGACCGGGACTGGCTTATGGGTGATGAAGAATTTTCTTAAACGACGGTGTTATCTTATCTGAGCAGAAGGACAAAGCTCCGTGTTTTAAAAGTTTCCTGTGCTTGCTCTCGTGCCTCTCTGAAGCTGCGATGTGGACGTTCTGGGGATCATTGAGGGCACAACTGAACTCTTTTGATCTCAGGTCTCTTTGTAGAACGTTATGGGCAGCGATTGGATTAATCGTCATTTAACTGTCAGCTATGGCAGGAAACTAAGATGAGGCTCGCTAGTTGCGTTATACGGGAACACCGATTACGAAACCTTTGTGCTTGTGGCTCCTCGCTTCCCCTTGGTTGGCCCTGCCCTACAAGTTCTCTGAGCTGGAGAACCTCGTGGATGGGGACAGGGGTAGGCGGAGGTGGGGGGGAAGGCCGAGGAGGCCCTGGCCATAGGCTTGTGGCTGCGTCAGGTCACTTGTCACTGTAGAGGCACGGGGATAGGAAGGGGGTTGACTTGGGCGGAGCCCCGAGGGCGTTGGCTCCGGAGAGAGGATGCCGCTATGCACCCTCTCGGCAGAATTATTCGATCCTCGGCCTGACCACGCAATGACATTGTCACACAACGGTCACCTCGAGACACCCCGAACTGACGTTTGGTTGAACGAAGTGCAGAGCTACGTTTGAACGTGACCGGGCTCACGCCACCGACGTTGAGCCAGTGTGAGCCGGGTTTGATCGCAGTCGACATGCTCCAAGACGCGGGCTCGTTCCCAGGTTACTAGCGGCGATGGCAGCGGTTCTGCTCTCCGACCTCCCAGTGACCCGGCCGGCCCACCTGGTCGCGACATGGCCAGCCCACGTGATCGCTCAGACATTTGTGTTGTTTACCGATGTAACTCACCAAACCCCACCCCGTGGCCCCTTTCCTGGGCGCCTGTGCAAAAAGAGCTTAGAGCTCATCGGATTCCTCCTCCAGGATAAACAGAGATTCCGATCCTGTCCTCTCTGCAGAGCCATCCCTGAGCGAGATGTCGCACAAGATCTACGCCTCTCGTCTCTCGGGGGCCGCTCCGCATCTCCTGCCAAGTGCCCCGCCGCTGCCCTGGCTCGACGGTGCCAAGACCCTGGCGCCGCACGGCCACGCGCACCACCCGGCCAGTGGCACATCTTGGCCGCTGGGACCACCGTTCGGCAAACCGCCGCCGCCACCACCGCCGCCACCGCCACCACCACCACCTCTTCAACCGGCCCCCATCGGAGCCGGAGTGGCATACAGCAGCAGCCCGTCTTCGCTGACGCCCGGATACTCGCCGAGTTACTCACCCGCTCACCACCACCACCCGGCTCACCACCACCATCACCACCCTGCGCACCACCACCACCACCATGCTCGAGCGCACTTCTTCAACTTCGGAGGCGCGACGAGTCCGCCGATAAAAGACGGCGAGTTTCCTCATCCCCGCCACCACCAACTATGCTAACTCCTCACCCCACTGCACCCCTTTCTGACTCTGCCGTGCTCATCTCGCTGTGAGCTTTGACCCCCCGCTCCCAGTGACGTCACTTCCTGCAGACCGTTGCCATCTTCACGGTGGGCTTGGTTCAGTTGAGGTTGGCAATTTTGGTGGAAATCGTTTTGGGAATTTCCAGTGAAGCAGAGCGTTACATTCTCATGAGGAGTGATCGCCTGAAGTCTTTGTTGAGGGGGTAAAGGAGTGCAATGAATTAAATTGTCTCAGGTAGGCTGAGCGACGCACCTCACCACGCTTGTCTGCACACTTTTCAACTGCCGTTCCACATCCTTTGTCACTGTCCATGCTTCTGACCAAAACGACACAGCCGGTTATGTGCGCCGATTAAAAAAAAAACTTTTAGGCACATTGGGACATAGCTTTTCATTTTCCTCAGATAGACTCACGTCGTGCCTTCATCCAGCAGTGGATAGACCCCGACCGAAGATGTATGGTGGTGATGATGATGAAGTGATACTTGTCCTTCACTTAGCAAATCTAAATTGTAAATGTTCAAAACAAAGGAAAAAACGATGAGCGACCCCATTTACCGACACGTACAATAACTATAGCCTGGTTACTGTAAAACACACACATTGTTATACCACAACTGCCACCAATAACCCCAGAAATGCCTGGTATGCATGAAGTCGTGGATTCGATCCCACCCCTGATGCTTGCATATTCTCCCCGTGTGATATCGCGATGGTCCGTACTGCGAACCTATTCTCTCTCCCTCCGCTTGCCGCAGGGTTAGAGAAGGACCTGGAGGCCATGTCCGTGGTGGCAGACGGTGCTAAGGGAACGGACATCTTAGGCGGTGGTGGTGGCATTGGAATTGGCGGCGTCGTTGGAGGTGGCGGCGGTGGGATTGGTGTTGGCATCGGTGGCACCGTCACCACAACCCACGTGCCCATCCCCACGTACCCGGCGTACATCCCGGCCGGTACCGATTACGGCGCTGGCTTCTACCCGCATGCTCATCACCACCACCACGCCTACCACCAGCCCCACCACCACCACCATGCAGCGGCGGCGGCAGCAGCGGCGGCGGCGGCAGCCGGGATTCTGGGCAGAGGCACGAGTGCTCATGCCTTCACCAAATCCAAGAGCAAGGGACGCTCCGGCTCAGGTAGGGGAAGACGCGAGCGGGCCACGGGCCCGCCGGTGCGACAAGGGGCGGCGATGGGGCCAACTGGCCAGGCTTCCCCCGTACATGGTGGTGCTGGTCGTGGTGGACCTTATCTTCCCCTACGGATGAACTATCAGAATCAGAATATTTATACTGAAGGAATCCGATAAGCTATCAAGCTCTTTTTTCAAAGATGTCCAGTAGGGGCAGGTCACAACGTTCCAACAACAAACAATACAAAAACTTGAAAGTAGTGCAAAGTACAGAAAAGGTAAACATCACCCAAACACAAACAAATAAAACTAAACCACCGCCATTCTACCAGGCAAAGTCACTTATTTTTCAGAAGCGACCTGGCCTGAAATGATAGCTCAACAAAGTGGCTTATCACACCACGTTGTATTGAGATGCGTTTTGGATTCAAAGTATTTAAGTTAGATTTCGGACCGATCATGGGATTTCGGTATCATCCGAAAGATCCTGGATTCGACTTTCAGATTTTACCAATTGTTATATAAAAGCCTCCCCATGTCATGTCAGACGTGGGGCTCGTTTGACCATACTTCATCAACATACAGACACACATACATACCACGCTTGTCAGTGGAAGTTGTATGCCAACCCTGCTAATCGGAGGTGCGGTTGAAGTTGACTGGTTCAAATGACACTCGCCCCTGATGGTAGCTGTGCTCAGGCATGGCGAGTGACATTGATGGTAGCCATGCTAGGACATGGCGAGTGACACTAATAATTGTGCAAATTATTCGAAATACATAAATCAATTGCAGCTCAATGCTGCCAGTCGTGAACGATTGGGGATGAAAATCCGGCCTACGATTGGATAAGATATCTGTGGAAAGGCAGCAGCGGCTCACCCCATTTGTAAAAGCCCCTTCCAAACAAATGTCTCTGATCGTCATTTACAGGTGCAATTTTAACACCCCCATAGTTGTTATGACGTGACACGTGCATGGGGGAATGACACGGGTTTGTGTTGATACCCAAATTTGTGTTGATATCTGGGTGTGTGTTGATACCCGGGTGCATGTTGATACCTGGGTTTGTGTTGATGCCTGGGTTCGTGTTGATACCTGGGTTCGTGTTGATACCTGGGTTCGTGTTGATACCCAGGTTCGTGTTGATACCCAGGTTCGTGTTGATACCCAGGTTCGTGTTGATACTCGGGTTTGTGAGGTGGCAGAGTTCCGACCGTTCGCACAAACCCGGACGTATTTCCCAGTCAGCAACGAGGCCCTTTACTCCAAAACCGTGCGGCATCTTGCAATCGAGTTCGGCGCAACACCGGCAACTGGATCTCATCACGAATCAATCCCTGCCACTCGAACAACCCAGACGCCAATTCACGGAACTGTCCAGGTCAAACTCGGACAGGTAGCAACCCGACGTGGTGAGGGTTTTGGAGTGTGTTGGAGTGTATGAGGGGTAGTGTCAGTTACGTCATGCCGTTTCAAACGAATACGGTGTCGACACATTGTGATTTTTGTCGACGCTGTATGTGACGCACATACTTTGCTGAGCACCAGTTGGACATGGGTTTGTGTCAAGTGTCTGGAGATTAGGGGGGCCTCTGTGGGTGGGGGGGGGACCTTGTGGCATGGCTCGGTGGGATTCTGTGGGGAGGGCACTGTTTGTGGCAGTGGGGGGGGGGGGGGTTCTGTGGGGGGGGGCTTTGTGGGGAGCTCTTGGGGGGGGGGCTCTGTGGGTGCTCTGTGGTGGGAGGTTTAGGGGGAGGGGGGCTCTGTGGAGTGGCTCGGTGGCGGGGGGGGGGGGGTTCTGTGGAAGGGGAGGGGGGTCTCTCTTGGTGGGGTTTTACAGGTCTCTAATTGCATTATGAATGTACCCACCCCTGAATGGACATCATAGCTCATCAGATTCCTCCTGCAGGATAAAGGTTCTCATTCTGACTAGTCGAGACAGTGTTTCAATGGATTTTTCTGTATATATTGAAACGTGCATTGAGATTATTTATATTCATTTGGCTGCTATAAAATTCCACTTACAAGCCACGTTCTTGTGCTATCATTTGTGGCCAGATCACTTAAAAAAAAAAGTTAATACTTAAGTGGGCTTTACCTGGTAAGAAAAACAAGTTTTGTTTTAGTTGTATATATTTTTTAAGTGATTTGTTTACCTTTCCTATACTTTTCACTCCTGTCGTGCTTTTGTATTGTGTTAGTCGCTGTAACGTTCTCACCCCTTGTCCCTACTGGACGTCTTTGAAAAAGAGCTTCATGGCTCATCAGATTCCTCATGCAGTACAATAAATATTCCGATTTCTGATAACAACAAAAAAAAACACCACAGCGACGCTGCCGTGCGCTCCTCGTTCCCTCTCCCCGCCCCCCCCCACCCCCCCCCCCCCTTCTTGCAGCGCTGAGCGAGCCTCATGAGTCCGTTCCGGGGGGTTCGTGTGCCCTGGCAGACGGGCGCGAGTGCGTGAACTGTGGCGCCACCTCGACTCCGCTGTGGCGTCGCGATGGCACGGGCCACTACCTGTGCAACGCGTGTGGCCTCTACCACAAGATGAATGGGCAGAACCGGCCGCTGATCAAGCCCAAGCGGCGCCTGGTGAGGACTTTGCAGCGCCAGGCTAGGTGCACGTCGAGTCTGTCGCGTGGCCGCGTGCGGGAAGGCTCGCAGCTTAGCAGGGACAGGTCCCCGGTGTTGTGGGTTGACTGACCAAGACGACTCTGGCAGATGTATGACCCGTGACTATTTTAGTCGCCCAGGTGCCGAGCTCGTTGTTTAACACGGAGGATAAACTACGCGTTTATATTTAGTAATCCAACCCAAACACCTTTATTAAGAATACTGTATCTCGTTGTTGTTGTTGTGAGTATCAGTTACACACCAACGTGGTCATGAGCAGGAATCGAACCTGGCAACCCAGGTTCGTACACAATGTGCTAACTGCTCCCACAACAAGACAAATATCTCCCTTGTAGCCTAAACTTATTTTTGGGGCAAGTGCTGTTAGTGAGCTCCTATGAAGGCCGGCACTAGGGGGTACGTGACCAGCACCACTATATAGACACACACAGGCTAAGATCTCCTTATAGCCCACATAGACAGTGCACATTGTCAGACTTATGTCTTTTGTTTGTATTATGACTGCAGGTATTGCGGTCTATGCAAACATGACTCCTTGTAAAAAGGTGTCATTTTTGTTGCCAGATAGAAGGGTAAAAAAACAATTATCATATTTTTACTGGCAAATGAGGTTCCCATAGTGTAGATGCTTGCCCCGAGCTCTCATACTCTGATGGTGCATTGTCTTTGAGTTGTGCGCCTTTTGGCGTCATCTGGTCCAACCCATGTGAGACTAGGCTCTAAGGAAAGCTGTCTCGGGTGTGGACCAATCAACTTCAAGGACAGTGTACATTGTCAGACTTATGTCTTTTGTTTGTATTATGACTGCAGGTATTGCGGTCTATGCAAACATGACTGCTTGTAAAAAGGTGTCAGTTTTGTTGCCAGATAGAAGGGTTAAAAAACCAATTATCATATTTTTACTGGCAAATGAGGTTCCCATAGTGTTTAGGGCTGTTAGCGACGACTTATGAATGCCGAGGCAGCACAGTAGGGAGTGGTGTGGTAAGAATCACATGCTCGGCCACCTTTGTCTCCCTTGTGGCGATGTTTAGACACGGCACCAGGTACTCATTTGAGGTACTCATTTGAGTCGACCTAGGGAAGGCCCAGGACCAGTTCAGATTATCGTCACTGGTGTTGACCGTGAGCAGAAATCGAACTCGGGTGCCAGGTTCGTAGTGCAGCATGCAACCCGCTACTCTCCTGCACCTCGCTCACACATACATACACACAGCCCACTAACCCCTTTACCACCTACATGGTTCGGCGTGCAGTCGGCGTCGCGGCGTGCCGGCACGGCGTGCGCCAACTGCCAGACGACGACCACCACGCTGTGGCGGAGGAACCCCAATGGGGAGCCGGTGTGCAACGCGTGTGGCCTTTACTACAAGCTGCACAATGTGAGCGCGCATGGGCACACATGGACATTTACGCACAGGCATGCATGCACGGGCACGCATGGGCTCGTGCACACGGGCATGCATGCTGGGCACGCGCCACAAGTTGATGGGTTTACATGGCACAATAAGCACCCTCCCCACTCGTATTATGCGCAAAACCCACAGCAGCATCACCCTCTACTGGGACACTCTTGCGGACTCTGTAGTCACCAACGGCACGTACGATTTTATTTTATTTATGAATTCCCACTTTTTTAAAATTCCAATTACCACCCCCACCGACCCTGCCACCGCCCCCTCTCCTCCCACAGGTGAACCGACCGATGTCGATGAAGAAGGAAGGAATCCAGACTCGCAATCGCAAGATGTCGAGCAAATCCAAGAAGGGGCGCAAGCTGTCAGACGACCCCGACTTCGACCAATCACGCGCGGCCGCTCTCCTTGACGCCAAACAGGGGCCGCCGATGTTCGGCGGCGGTGGCGGCAGTGGTGGGTTCTCACCGATGGGCCACCATCACCACCACCCGCACCACCATCCGCACCACCACCCACATCACCACCACCCACACCACCTGGGTCACGTGACCCACTTTGGCGCAGCAGCGATGGGGGCGTCGGGTCACGTGATGGGGGCGGCCGCCGGTGGTGGAGGTCACGCGGGAGGGGGCGGCCTGGCATTTGCCCCGTCGACGCATCACTCCAGCATGATCACCGCCATGGGTTAGGTTATCGTTTGTCCAGTGTGGTCACTGCTACAGGTTAGTGGGATCACCGCCATAGGCTAGTTTATTGGACTGATCACAATCAGTCCACCATCATCGCCACCGTGGGCTGGATCAGCAGCGAGGAAGCTTATCCTGCGCGGAGGTCAGATGCATGCCGCTACTTCATTTCACACTGTCTGCAGTGGGCCCCATGAGACCAAGCGCTCCAGAACAGCCGCCACTGCAAGTGTCTTAGCCAGATCAATCGGGTGTTAGAGGGGGGGAGGGGGGAGGATTTTGTTTGTTGGCATTGTGTTGATGAGCAATGGGGATTGTCAAATTAACGATGGCATTGTTAATGAACAATGACTATTGGTGAACAGCGGCACTGTGGTGATGGACCAACTGCCTTCAGGTTCACTTGACCAGCAATCTCTTCATTTGGCCATCCGGACTCATGAACCCCGCGGTTAACAAACAAAAAATTTAAGAAATGACGCTATGACCTGGTGACGAAAATTCCACATGCCGATGATGGGCGGCGATCCCTCCAAATGAAGGACACCCACTCTTGACTTCCTATAGAGTGCTGCTCGTTCCATCTGCGATGTTGATAATGATGACGACGAAGATGACGATGCTGATGATGATGACTATGATGACAATGATTATTATGATGGCGGATATGATTACGACGACGACAACAATACTACCATGAAGATTACGATGGACCGAGTCGAACCCACCCGCAACCCTCCCAAGCTCATCATCGCCCCGCGTCGCCCGCCCACCCTGCCTAAAGGTATTGTGTTGGCGCTTGCCCCTGGAGAATGGGCGTTGAACGATAAACATTGGACCGGTGAGGAATGGCTCACAGGGGGCCGTGACTTATGGTCGCCAAAACGTCGAACTGTGGTGCCCGCGCGATGACACCGCCGCTGCCCGTGCTTCGATCGTTCGACTGGCAGCAGTTCAGATTGTCCACCATGAGGCGACTCCGCTGGCTTACTCACCAACCTCGACGCGAATGCAGAAACGCCGACGATCAACCCCCACCGCTGTACGCAAGAAGAAGTGTCCATTCAGGTCTATAGGTCTCTGTGTGGCTCTGTGAGTCTTTGTGCGAGTCTATGGGTTTCTGTGCGAGTCTGGGTCTCCGTACACGTCTATAGGTGTCAATGCAACTCCATGGTGTCCTGTGCGAGTCTATAGGTCTCTTTGTAATGATGCGAGTCTCTGTGCAAGTCTATGGGTCTGTGTGACTCCATGGATTTCTACAGGTCTTCGTGCGACTCTATAAGTCTATGTGTGAGCCTTTATCTTACACAATGGCCCACGTAAGTAGCACCACTGCCCACTTTGATTATTCGCAAGCAGTAGCAGAGGCAATTTCAGTCACAAGCTCTTGGAAGATGTGGGGCCACGGTGCTGTAGCCTAGCCACCCACTCGTGGCTGAGACAGCTGAGCAGGCTGCTGCCACCACGTGTATGTACTGTATGTATGTACTAAGCACCAGTTGTGTGTGTGTAAATACACACGGCCCTTGTACATAGCCTACTGCTTCGTGTACATTGCAGTGTTATTCTGTACACACTGCCCAACCCACCCCCCGCCAACACGCTCACTGCCGTGTACATATATATAATGTGTGTAATGTATATTGTGAATGCAAATGCTTTTACGAGTCGCTCGCTTACTCGCTCATTCCAAACGGGAGTTTTCATTTCCTTCCGCTCGAACGACGTAAAATGTAGGGACTATCATGGAAGAGAACTCGGTAACCACCACGCACCATCGCGATCTATTAACTCGGTAACCACCACCCACCATCGTGATCCATTAACTCGGTAACCACGACGCACCATCGCGATCCATTAACGGAGGGGAGATTTCCAAAATCCTTGCCTGTCATTCGCAAAACAATTTTAGGGTGGGGGGGGGGTTTGTACAACTGCAGAAGTAAAAATGTGTGTCGTGCATCCCACCTCCACCTGACATGGTCAATTTGTGAAGTAGTCACGGGACGAACAGCAGCAGCCGCTCCACTGGCGATGTTGCTGTTGTTGTTGAAGATCGATCCACACGTTTGACAAACGCGTCATGAACGATTCGCTGGTGGTTACAGCTGGCGTCCCTCCGTGCGCATCCAATCAGCGACAGGTTGTCGCGTAGGGAGCGAATGCGCCAATCGATTTGCTTTTATCGGGTCGCGTTGAAAAGCGAGCACAAAATTGGACGACGTTTTGGTCGTTTCGCTCACGACTACATGCAGCAGCTGCAGCATAATCATCAGGCGTTAACAAAAGCGTAAAAATAACTTCCTGATCTGAGTCCTTACATTATGCTATTATTTAGTTTTTCATTATACAGTCTGTTCTCCTAGAACGCGGTAGTAGTTTTGTTATGGAAAAATCACGTTACAATGAATAATATAGGGTAATGAACAGTCCGCGATAACACGTGAGATGCATACACAGACTAAACAAAGACTGAGGCGCGTGGGTCGCATCTGGAAGCATCCAGCAGAATCCCACCTTGTGTGATGATACGCGCAACGTAGTTCCGCGTTCACTCGATTGTGTTATATCCAATTCGCATCACGTTATAAAAATGTGTTCCCGAATATAAAAGACCCAGGGGCCGCCCGCGATCACACGGGAAAGACAAAGTGGTGCACGTGGCCGAGGAGAGACCAGCTATCCGGGAGCCACAGTTGATGCCGCTGGTGGAGGACAAGGCAGGATGGAAGGTCTTGGTGGAGTCGCTGCCCCTGCGACCCTGTCGAGGGCACCGCTGACGTTTATTTGGGGATGTGTGCATGCGTGTGCGCATCCGCCGCAACCTGTTGGTGCCGGTTCGTGGCTCCACGTTGAGGAGGCTACGAATTCCGCCTCGGGGTTTTTCCAGTCTCGGGTAATGATGCACCGCAGGTGGTCTCGCTGAGAAAATGGAATGCACTGGCCAGTACTAGAGACCCATAGACTCACACAGAGACGCATAGACTCACACAGAGACCCATGGACTCACACAGAGACCCATGGACTCACACAGAGACCCATAGACTCACACAAAGACCCATAGACTCATACAATGACCTATAGGCTCACATAGAGACCCATCGACTACCACAGAGACCCATAGACTACCACAGACACCCATAGACTCACACAGAGACATATGGGCCCACGCAGAGACCCATAGACTCACACAGAGACCCATAGACTCACACAGAGACCCACAGGCTCACACATAGACCCACATACTCACACAGAGACCCATACACTCGCACAGAGACTCATAGACTCACAGGGATATCCATATGTCCACGCAGAGTAACTGCACTGGTGCATTTTTATCACCAATACACGTTGCCTCTGTGTTCCAATTATCAATTTGTGCCACACAGAGACCCATAGACATGCATAGAAAGACCACCACTGGTGCATCATTATCATCACACGCTGCGTCTGTGTTCAAATTGTCAGTTAGTGCACCTGCACGCGCTAGCACCCGAGGCTACACAAATCCGGGGTGGACTTTGTAAGCTGCCTGAACCTGGACCCACACTCATGCAGCACTGATGCACGAGTTTAACGTTTAGCTAGGTCCGCTTTTTATGCGTTCGTGTGAACGAGTGGACTAAGTTGAGACCAGTTCTGGGCTCAAACGTGTTGGGGGGATTGGGCAGGAAGGTTTGACAGGGAAAGCGGAATTGTTTTGGCCATTGTGACTCTTTGTCAGATTTTTTAAAGCAACACCAAACGATTCCCGCAAAATTCACGAAAGCAAATTCACACAGTCCGCATTTTCAAAGGCTAAACACAGGATTAAAGAGGAAACAGAAATGGGGCTCACGCATAGTTCAACCCGCTCCCTGTGCCCCCTGCATCACGACAGATACAACTTAAAAACAAATAACTTAACTTATTCCGCTAAATGTTAGTGGCAGAGACAAAACAATGGAGTGGCATCTCAAGGGAGGGAACTCGCCCGAGAGGATATTTCCCACCCGGAGACGGAGAGGTGAAATCTACTCGTGCCACGTGCATCGTGCCACAGCTTGGGGGGGGGGGGGAGCTTTCATCCAGCAGTGGATAGATCATGGCTCACGATGACGATGAAGCCCAGTTAACGTTTTTTATGTCAACTCGTTGATATTGATCGTTACCCTCGTAATGCACGCATCGAGTCGCGGGTGAGAGGAACGTTGACGTTTGGCCATTCGCAATTTGCCGTCATTGTAATCGGTTCCCGTGACCTCTGCAGCCACTAGACACTGCTGCAGTCACCACGACGCACCGATTGGTTCGTCGATTAAAATATCGCGTGCGCCACAATCTATCAATTACTACGCATACAAATGGAATACTAATATATATGAAAGTTAAGTATTCGGGCTAAATGGAGCAAATTAAAGCGCACAAAACGAGACGGAAGCATTGAGAATCAATACAGAACGAGACGAGAGAAAAGAAACATCAGCCATGGTTATTCGACTGCTGGATGAGTATCTCCATCAAGCTGAAGCCACCTCTCACGATCCTGCACACGAGTTGAATCACTCGCTTCATATCCCTCAGTGGACGGCCTCTTGGTAGACAAACCATCGATCTGGATCACTGGCGAGGTGAACGCTGATGCGTGTCCACAGAGGAGAGCGACGGAACTGAATGAAGTTTTTAATGGATAAAGCACTGAAAAGAATTAAGGATTCTAACAAAACAAGGAACGAAAACCAGCACGTTTTCTCATATTTAAATACGTCAAAATAGCGTTCCGTTCCAAGATCATCACAACATTCCTTTTCGCATTTATCAGTGTTCCGTTCCAAGGTTATAATAACATTCCGTTCCACGACAATGACATTCCGTTGCGACATGTTCACGTTCCAAGACGCACAATGGGACTCACGTCACAGGGCGCGTGACGTGCGCCGACGCGCGATGACGTCACACTTCATGACGTTACGGTCGCCTCGATGGTTGCGAGGCGACTTTTCGGGCCTTTTGTTGTTGCTGCCCAGTTTTTGGGTCAACGCTTTTAATCAATGTGTCCGCATTTCTCAAAAGTTCACATTGGATCATCTTTACGAGAGTTTTAGTGACCCCCCCCCCGTCCCCCTGTCCCACCCCCATGCCTTCACGCTTCGAACCTTGGTTGTAAATCGTTAACAACAAGCAGTTTGTTCTGAGCTGTGCTTTACTAAAATGAAGGATTAACGTTGCAGAGATATACAATTGTATTATTATATGTTCCAAATGAAGGGATGTTTGATGATTATGTTAATAATAAAGTTTTTGAAATCAAATTGAAATACGTTTTAGTTGATTGTCTGTAAACCTTATCAGAGACCGGTCAGTCTGTCCTTGTCTCGAGACCTGACGTATACGACGAAATGACACAGCGTGCGCTCCACAGACAGCCCCTCACGAGCCTACTTGCTGTACTGGGGCGCCGTGGTGGCAAGGAGGTACTGGGTTCGATCTCAGACCTTGACGATGTCTGCTGTTGCATATCTGGAGTTCGCGTGTTTTCTCTCTCTGGTGGTCGCGTGCATTTTTCTCCACGTTTAGATGAATTGGCCGTTGCTAAAAAAAAGCCCCACGTGTGATGATGATGATATCAGCCGCTGCGATGAGCTATTAAGTACGGTAAGTTCGCCTCTGAAAACGATCTAATAGCTTTACCTGGTAAAAGAACAAAACGCGTTTTGTTGTTTAAACTTAATTCTACAAGCTTCCACCTAATTGCCATGTAGGTAGATGTCTCAAAAACTGGATCCATCTCTGCTTGTTCCATAAACCCCCCCACGCTTGCTAATTACTGACTTGCAGGGGTGCGTAATGGCCACCACGCCCATCTAATCTGCTGCTCCTTCAGGCTCACAATTACACGATAACATTTCCACTGCTGTGTGGGATTTGAGAATCTTTCCAACTTGTTTTTTTCTTTGAACTGCCGCGCCAGAAGATGGAATCAAAAATGTAATGAAAAGCACGCAGCTATTTGTGCATTATGCAAAAAAAAACCAGTAGTTACTGAATAACTGCACTGTGGTCATCTTGCCTTCAGCCACCATCAAGATGAATGTGACCGACTGATAGCAGCAGTGATACAGAGATATGTAGACCTGTTTCATCCTCAACGGGAATCATCAGCAGCACAGTAAAGTCAACAATGCTCTCAGTGCTGCCAAGTCTGCCTCTGGGATCCGAAAATGTGGAGTCCTCACATCCACACTAAGAGGCCCATATTAGCTGGCAGATTGCTAAGAATAATCACATCTATATATTGCAATACACCCCCAACGTAACGAAATCATAGTGCAGTCCGGGAAAAAAGAGACCACGAGTTTTAATAAATGCGTAACAAACGCCCAGCCTTTGTGCATATGCACAAAACCATCAACAGTTTCTCAAGAACTGCATTGCGGTCCATCCACGACGGCAATAGCAGCGCTACGAAGATAAGACAACCGGGGACCGGTTTCGTAATTAATCATACTCATCAGCACAGTGCAAGCCACCAATGCTCACTGCTGCCAAGTCTCCCCAGAGGCCTGAGGAGCCGGCGCTAGAGGAATCATTCGCCCATTCTCGCGGCGCGGGACCCAGACTAAGTCGAGGAGTGGCATTTGGAGGGGGGAAACCGGCGCAGTACTTCCACCGCGTAAAGATGGCGCAATGAAGTGAGCTCGCGTGCGGAGACGAGACCGACTGCTGCAATGCGAGGCCGTGACAGTTGGCGACTAGACTGGGGAGGCGCTCATCCAGCAGTGGATAGGGGCGGCACGGTGGCGAGACGTTAACTACCTCGCCTCGTATGCAGGCGTGGTCGTGGGTTCGATCCTGACGCCTGAATTATATTTTGAATGTGCCTGTCTCTCTCCTCGTGGTCGCGTGGATATTTATTCGGTTTCTCCGGTTTTTCCATCCACATTTAAAAACTGTACGTTATAAATTTGCTGCTATAAATGTCCACTTCGTTGAGCTATCGTTTGTGGCCAGGTCGTTTATGAAAAAGAGCTATATAGCTCAGTGAGCATAGCCTAGTAGAGAACATGACTCATGATGATGATGTTGATTACTATGATGCTGCTAGTGGTGATTATGATTTCGATGATGCTATGCTGCTACTACTGCTGATGGTATAGAATATGCTGCTACTACTGCAGCTACTGCTGCTGATGATAGAGATACTGCTGCTCCTACTGCTAATGATATTATGCTGCTGATGATATTGATTGTGCTGCTGGTATTAATGCAGCTACTATTGATGATATTTATTATGCTGCTGCTACTACTGCAGCTGATGATGACATCGATTATGCTATGCTGCTACTGCTGCTGATGATATTGATTATGCTGCTGTTACTGCTGATGCTGACTATATTAATGATGCTACTGCTGCTGATGATATCGATTATGCTGCTGCTGATGATGATGATTCAGATGATGGGGGAACTCCAGGGCCGAGTAAAACTATGGAGAGGCAGAGAGACAGTCCTCCATCTCTCGCGCCGACCGTTGCCACACTCAAGAGTTTGTGAAACCTAGGGGAGGTGGGGAGGGAGAGTGAGTGAGTGAGGGTTGGGGTTGGGAAATCAGGGGGCTCACACCGCCCAGTGACCGCACTTTGATCTGATTCCTCACTCTGGCAGCAGCAACAACAACATCACACGGCGACTTTCGCACGAGCCGGCGGTAAACCCGTTGCAGAAGTTTGCGGCTTCAAATCTAGCGGCCGCACTGGTTAATCCTGTAGGTGGCGCTACGGTTGCGAGATGTTAACTACCTCGCCTGGTATGCAGTAGGTCGTGGGTTCGATTCCGACCCTGACACCTGCTGTATTTTTAGAGTTTGCTTGTCGTGTTGATTTGTATCCGGGTCCTCCAGTTTTTTCGCTCCACATTTAGCAGCACGTGTGTAGTGTCTTGTAAAATCACAACAGTCGGACACGTTTCAGGTCACCCGTTTACACTTTATTACTCTATTCTTGCACCAGTTGTCGGCACTCCTGTCTCTGTCTATACGGTCACTTTTGTTGACCCTTATCTACTTTACACCTCACTGACCTGCCTGCGGCAGCTCTTCCTCTCAGTAGCTCCGCAATCACAGCTCTGCACACAGCAGCGCTCACACAGAGCCTGCACACAGCAGCGCTCACACAGAGCTTGCACTCAGCAGCGCTCACACAGAGCTTGCACTCAGCAGCGCTCACACAGAGGCTTGCACACAGTAGCACTCACACAGAGCTTGCACTCAGCAGCGCTCACACAGAGGCTTGCACACAGTAGCACTCACACAGAGCTTGCACTCAGCAGCGCTCACACAGAGCTTGCACCCAGCAGCGCTCACACAGAGCTTGCACTCAGCAGCGCTCACACAGAGCTTGCACCCAGCAGCGCTCACACAGAGCTTGCACTCAGCAGCGCTCACTCTGCGCTGCTGCTCTCGCCTACGTTCCCTCGGACCCACTCACTCGTCCGATCCGGGCGGGGGGATCAACCATCACCCGCACGGCGACTCGCGAGGGTTGAGGTCCGTCCCTGGCTTGAGCGGCAGCGGCGAGATGTCTTCACCTTGGTCCCAGCAACCCGAACTGCCGCTCCGCTATCACACGCCTGCTTATAGCCTCCTCCCAATTATCCCTTGTGTCTCATTAGGGCCAGACAGGCTGGCGCCTGTCAGGTCATCAATCACTCCTTACCCTGGCAACACCTCCGGTGTCAGCATGCATCGGCGAGGGCGTCACAGAGGGTGAGGAAGGAATCCTCTTCAGCCTTATCCCACCGAAATATCTGGCCCTTGGCCGTGAGGGCATGCAGCGGTTTAGCAATGGTGGCAAAATCTTTAACGAACCGCCGGTAGTAAGAAGAGAATCCAACGAAACTGCGGACGTCTGATACCGATTTAGGCGCCTGCCACGTGTGCACACACGAAGTCTTTTCTGGATCCGTGGCGACACCGGCCGCACTAACTATATGGCTCAAGTACTTTATCGATGTCTGAAGCAAATAGCATTTCTGTGGCTTGAATTTCAATTTGGCCGCACACACTCTCTCGAAGACCGAGCGCAATCGCTGAAAATGTTCGTAAAAGGTTTTGCTAAAGACGATGACGTCATCCAAATATATAAGGCAAGCATCCCATTGCAACCCTGCTAGGACCAACTCCATTAACCGCTGAAAGGTGGCTGGCAATGAATGTATCAGAGTATTTGGCTGCGCTACATTTCCACTGTGATGATACGCCGCTTCATCGAGCTCTCATTTGTGGCGAGGTCGCTTCTAAAAAAGAACTACATAGCTTAGTGGAGCCTTACCTGGTAAAACATTTTTGTAGTTTTTAATATATAATATTTTAATAATTTATGCACCCATAATTATTATCGGTGCATAAACGGAAATACTAATAATACCACGTATTACTCTTGGACGGCGTCAGAGACCCAAATTGCCGCTTGCAGGCCAGGTGCCGAGTCGGCTTGTGCCGCACAGGGTCACCTGCCACCAGAGATGAGGTGCGAGATGTATAACGCTCTGAGACAGCCCAGCGTATTGGAGGAGGGTACCTCCATCAAGGAAAATCAGCATCATTCCGGATAAGCCCGCTCCCTCCGTTGATTAAGACTCACATAGAGATGCATAAGCTCACACAGAGAGCCATGGGCTCCTACAAAGACCTGTAGACTCACACAGAGACTCACACAGAGACCCAGCGACTCGCACAGAGACCTGTAGACTAACGCAGAGACCCATAGACTGACACAGAGAGTCTACGGGTCTCTATGGATCTGCTACTATTTCCCCACCTTTAGGAACTCCCTCCTCGAGCAACCCCCCCCCCCCCCGCTCTTTGCTTTCTCTCCTCGAAGTCTTCACCCCCCTTCCTCCCCCTCCCCCCTGCATCGCCCTCTCCCGCCTCCCCCCTCCTTCCCTTGCTCGCTCCCCTCCCGTCTCTGCGCCTTTAGACGTTGGTTACTTTCCGGAGGCCCCTTCCTCCAACAGTGCCCAGATTAAGCAATTTCAGGGCTGCTCCTTTATATTTTCCTACGATAATAATGCCGAATATTTACCCAGTAAAGTCATGTAGATATGTTCATCAGGATGACGAACGCTTGTGTTGCTATCAAAACGAGTTTTTTTATTATTATGTTTTGTTATTTTTTATTTTATTTGAACCTATCTACGTGACTTTACCCAAAGACCCAAGAATATGAATTCCTGCAGTCACGAAAGTTTTAAGTCAACAATAATAACAATGATAATGTTTATTTATGTAGCATGAGCATTGCATTGAG